CACAACACAGCTCGGGTTGGGTTTGGCCATAGGTTGTGCTGTGTTGGGTTAACCGGTATTGGGCGGGTTGGTCAAGTTTGAAAGAATTTATGTATAAATTTTTACATAGGACATGTTTGTTTGCTCTTAATGGCTCTTATCTCTTAATACCTTCAAAATGCATTAATAGTGTTCCATTCTCATTTTATCTTTAGCCTTAATTCATGTAAAGTAGCAAAAAAACTCACTTTGGTTTTCTAAAAATATCCCCAAAAGGGTACTCGTTTTATATATGTTATGATGTCCTATACGATAACAATGGTAATAATAATAATAATAATAATAATAATAATAATAATGAAGTAGTTCTTAAAAATTATTATTTAAATAGTTAATACTAATTACTTAATTATCTAATTATATATTATTAATGAAGGAATATTTAGATTTATTATTCTTTTATTGATTATATATGTATTATTTAATTACGTATTCTGTTTTTCAAAAGATACCCCAATTAGTTTCTTCTCCTTTTACATTAAGAGCATAAATTATTATTTTAGTTAATAATAATAATATTATTAATAATAATAATGAGGTAATATTTAGAAATTATTTTTTATTAATTATCTATGTATTATTTAATTACATATTTAACTATTTTATTTATTTGTTCAATTATTTATTTAATTAATTAGATACCAAATACATAATTATTAATTATTAGTTAAACCATTAATTAAAAATAATGCATTTTAAATATATAACTTAATTAACTATTAAATTCTCAATTCATTAAAAGTAATTATGTAATTAATAAATAAATAATTATATAAATAATTAATATTAATTATCAATTAAACATTAATTACTATTTTAATTAACAATATTAATTATTAATAATTAATAATTATTTTATATTCATTTAATTAATTGATAATTAGTTTGCTAAAAGTCAAACAAGCTTTTTGGTATCTTGGGTTAAAATAGTCAATTGGCAATTTTCAAATTTATCATTCAGATTTCAAAACAACATTCTTTGTATTCATACTTTAGAACTAAGAAAAGTTCACCAACTCCAATACAACCTTTAAAAGTAATTATTACAGTTTCAAAGGGGCATTCAAATCTCAGATTTCAGTGCAAACAAATAGGTCATTTAGTTTTCTTTTATTGGGATTTATGGCCCAATTTAAGAGTAAAATTGATTGAAAATATGTACAAATTTCATTTACAAAATAACATATACATACTTTATACATATAAACATGTAAATATAATTAGAAAAAAGGCATGTTTATATAAACATGTAAATATAATTCAAGGGAGCTTAGGTTGGGTGGGGCTCAGGCTCAAATTTTTAGGCCTTATCCCAAGCCCGTATCCAGAAAACTTAGGCCCAACCCATGCAAAAA